ACACACACACACACACACACATATATACATACACACACACAGAGAGAATTATTATTCAACAACTAGGAGCTTACAGTTGAGGAGTTTGCTTGAACGGTAGTTTCATCGTCTGATGGGAACTGATATATCTGGATGTTATTGCTGATCAATTCATTCATTATCTTACTCTTAAACTTCTGTAAGTCGTTTTTAGAAATTGTGTCTGCTTTAGCAATCAATGGTATAATGTTCACCTTCAAAGAAGGAAGACAAAATTTGGCCTTGAATATTTGTTGTTCATTCTGTAGTTTTCACAGTCTAAATCTCACAGGCTCTGGAAGTAAATCTGTGTAACTAGATAATCACTGGCTGTCAATTCTTCCTTACAAAATTGTTTCCCAAAGTCTCAATCTTATTTCTCTTTTAAACTCTTTTACACTTCCAACACATTTGAAGTTAGTAAAGTTTAAAGGATAGAATCGGATGGACTGTTTACTTTGTTATCAGTTTTATTTCTTATTAAACAGAGTTTAAAAAGAGCAAGACACTTTTCATTAAAATTGAGGAAAGGATGGAATTTTCCTTTCATCTGTCAATCATGCAATCACCTACCCCATGGATACAAATTAATCAGTCTCCCATTTTTACACACTCTTGTCCTACCTGTATTCCCCTGAAGATAAATTTGCTTATATTTTTCAAACACTACCTGAAAATAATGTGGATATTTTTTGGTTACCAAACTATAATGGCCAACTTGCACATGTCGGGGGGGGGGGTGTATGTGTGTGTGACAGAGAGTGAGAAGACCTCACTAACAAACATGTACATTTGTAATTTGCATAAAGAAATTATTTCCACGTTTGAGTTAAATTTCTGCATATTTGAGTTTGAGTTTTTACTTAAAAGCATTTTCCTACTTATATAAAATGATCACAACTTTCTTCAAGTATTTACATTCAAATAAATTTTGTAGGAAATAACAATATGAAAAATTCAAAAATATATGATATTACTGTTAAAATATCTTATTAAATCATATCTGCACACGTTAAAATCTATATAGTATAAATAAATGAATATCAGTTTTAGGTAGATTGCCTGGATTTCTCAAAGCACACCATTTTTAATTCCTGGAGAAAATCCAAGGTTTTAATATTATAACATAGATGTTCAAATTTTGGCATGGTTTCAATATCTACAAATAATATTTTCCAGAGTAAAGAGTAGATAATTGGCAGTAGATTCAAGTCTAAAGTGAAGTGTTGGAATTGTGTTGGTAAGGAAACTTGGAAAAGACATGTTGTTGTGACAGTAAATGATCCATTTATGAAAATGGAAACTTTCTATGTCAGCAATTCCCAGGTGTTCATGTTCAGTGAAGAAAACACACTATGACACAGAGAACTTAAAGCCTGGAAGGGAACACCAGGAATGAACAGTCATCTTTACCCATCTGTTTAGCAACTGTACCTGTCAAAGCTAGAGATTTCCCGCACCTGTAAAACAGCCTGAAATAACAGATCACCACAGAGTTAAATATAAAATGGTGTCCTAGACTATGAATGTACTTTTAATCAATAAATTGAGGAAGATCTTAATTTCAGCAGAAATTTAATTTCTTTAACTTGATGTTATTTGAGATTACATACAAAGTTTTATCCAGACCGAACAATACTTAACAAAAGTTAAGACTTTTTTAGATAAAAAGAACCCAAATTTAGGGATTTTTCTCTGATCAGTTGGATAAAATTAAAGACACTATGTTTCACCAGAGCTGAGTGAAAAAAAAAAAAAAACTGATGAGATAGCTTCATTCATATATATATAAAATCTCTATTTAAAAAATACCTTTAAATTTAATACTCTCACATAAGAATTGTACAAATAGTCAGAGGAAGAAATCAAAGTGTGGTAATTTTCCCAAAGCCACACTCATTAGCAGGGTGGGGTCAGATGTTGAAATGAAAAAGCTTTAAACACCCACCCGTGATTTAAACCCCAGCCACTGGAGACAAGGTCACAGAAAGCTAACGAAGTAAAGCAAGTGTTTAAACCTGCACTGACCGCAAACCTGGGAGATTTATCATTTATTAATCTACTTTGATACTGGGGGTTGAGCCTAGGGGTGCTCTTCCACAAAGCTTTGTCAACAGCCCATTTTTATTTTTTCTAACTTTGAGACAGGGTCTTGCTAGGTTGTCCAGGCTGGCCTCAAACATGTCCTCTCACCTCCGCCTCCAGAGTCACTGCAATTCCAGGTGCACACCACCAAACCCTGCTGTGAACTTGGTGTATACATTACATGTCTCCCATAAGACTACAGAGTTGTATGCTGTGGTTTTTTTTATTCATCTAATAAAACATTTTCCACACTTTTAAACTAAACTATGAAAAACTAATAAATTGTTAGAGAATTTAATCAAATAAAAAGGGCTTATAAATGTCCTCAGTACTTTTCCAAAGCCTTGTGGATAAGCAGACTATTAGCATGAAGCCACATGTGTCCCAAGCTCTTGCTAGAAAAAGCATATCTTTTTGGCTCTTTACTTCCTTTCTGATGCACACATGGACTTGCATTCTGAATCCCCTCTGGAAATGCTTGTGTGCAGAATCATGCATGACCAGCCGCCCCACTCAAAGATTACAGGATTGTTTTATACCACCACACAGTAAACTCAATTTCAAAAATGTAGGCAAGCAGACAGGATCCAAACTAGAATTTAATCACAGAAAAGTGTTAACTAAAACTTCATTTTGTGTTTTTACATACATCTCCCCTTCTATTTATGATTTTTTAATTAAATGTATATGGAACATAAAGTGGCAATTAATTAAATATTGAATTTTCTCTCCCCACTAAATGCATGTTCTGAAGCCCCAATACTCTGTACCTCAGAATGGGACTGTAATTATAGATAGAGCTTTAAGAGGTGATTAAATAAAGAGGCTGTTATGGTAGCATATAACCTGATTTGACAAATGTCCTCATAAGAAACCTGGACATAACAGACGCCAGCAGAAAGATCTTGATGCTCAAGAGGCGGGCTTGCCAGCAAGAAGATGGGTTTCAGAGGAAGCAGGGCTGCTGAGGTCCTGACCGCAGGGAGGGGGTGGCCTCCGGGAAGGTGGAGCTATGACCTTCCACTGCTTAAACCAGCCTGCAGCCTTGGGGCCTGAAGCCCGCCAACCAGTACAAACGCCTTAGAACAAAAGGCTATTAACCTGCTCTCGCATGCATTCAATATGCTTCCAAATGTCATCATCTCACAATAAACCTTAAACCTGGAAGCCCGAGGGAGCTGCCCACGCACCACACCTTGCTGTCGATGCTCTTCATGGTCAGCAGGTCCAGCGACTTGAGCGAGTGCCCCGTTGGAGAGATGAAGTACAGGCACACGTGCACGCGGGTGTCGTGGTACTCGAAGAAGGAGCGCTTGATCCGCAGCTCCTCCTGAAGGAAGGCCTCGAACTGAGCATCTATGTAGTCGACCACGGGTTGGTAGCTAAAAGACAGTCATTTAGATGCAGGATCACAGAGGGAGCCAACCCGATCTGCTTTCACCAGTTCATAAACAGCATGTACTCTAAATCCTATGCTACCTTATGCATCCGTGAAGAGGAGTCGGCTGGGGCAGCCCCAGGGGTGTGGCTAGGTGGTACAGGGCAGGGCAGGGGAGTCCCTGAGCTCCATCCCCAGCTTCAGAAGATGAAAGAAAAAACAATTCCATGCCAGAAACAGGACCCGTGCCTTCCGTTGCTTAAATTGAAAAACGATCTATTCAATGCAATCCCAATCAGAAACAAAATTTTTATATGTTTATGTACACAGAAATGCAAAACAGCCAGAATGCCAAGACACATGGAAGAAAACTGAGACAGTCTCCAGACATCCGGTGGTCTTCCGAAGCCAAAATGTTACCTAGTGTGGTTGGTACCAAAGAGGATGAGATAAAGAGGCCCAAGGAAAGACAGCTTGGATGTGACAGAACGGGATATGTCCTGACTGAAATAGCTTTTTACACCTGCAGAAATACACTGAAAGAGCCACACTTGCTGTATGGGGAATTTAAGAGGGCAAACTAAGTAAATAAACCAGGGTGACCCAAGTAAGGAGGGAGGGAGGGAAGGATTTGGGGGCCCCATAGATCAGGTGTGTTTGGATAGGTTTAGGAAATGACACAGATATCAGAAATATTTGGGTTTTTGTTTGGAAATAACTAGGCCCATGTCCAAGTACTTCCCTATGGGAAGATGAGAAAACCTGCCTGAGAAGAAGGCAGAGGAATCGCCTTCCATCCTCCAGCCAAAATGAGCGTAAATGCCAGGCTACTTTTTACAGCTTTGAATTTGGGCGTCCAGGTTTGATGAAATATCTATTATAAAATAAATAAAATACCAGGAATTCTCATAGTCAGGGGAGGGGGTAGGGAAGAATGAAAGAATTTTGGATTGTGCAGAGGGGAGTGAAGGAAGGGGGAGGGACTGTGTGAGGATGGCCTTGGGTCTGAACCTAACAACTCCATTTTAAAAACTCCAATTTGAAACCTGCAGTCTCACCAGACACAGCCACAGAGCCCTCCAGTATGGCCCTCAGACACAAACAAGTCATTTCCCCCCACTTAGATAAACTCAGAGTAAAGCCTCCGGCAGGCTGTCCTCACCCGATAAGAGGGAAAGGAGAAAAGAATAGGGTGGGGACCACCAGACCAGATGTTTTAACTCCAGGGTAAATGATGTCACAGAGAAATCTGGTGGTAACTGATAAGGATTGAAAGGGGAGTCAAAAGCCCCAAAATTTAATATAAATAATAGAGCAAATGAGCAGATATTCAGCCAGCCAATACTGATGCACAGAAGCTGGAGAGCCTGATGAGGTCCTGGACTGACATCCCATCACTTGTCATCGTTTGCTGATCCTCTGCCTGGTCCTCACCGCTCTCAAACTCTACAGCCACATCTTGACCCTGGTGAGAGCCACAACTTCTCCCTAGGACCACCTCCTCAGGCGGCCACTAGCTGCACCCCAGGAGAAGCCTGCCTTGGCTCCAGACCTGATCACCACGGTCTGAGTGAGTGTGCATCTGCTAGACTTAAAGCCTAAGGCTTGAGACTTTTGATCTGACACATGAACTTAGCATGGAGAAGGAAAGTCCGTCACAAGTCTGTCATGATTAAGTGTGTTTGCAATGCTTAGAATTCATTAATCTAGAATTGTTTGCTGTGAATTAATTAATCTAGAAATGTTTGCTGTGAATTAATTAATCTAGAATTGTCTGCTGTGAAATGATTATGTCTATTGCAGTGCCTAGCATTAAGGATTGTCGTTTTCTTAATTAAGAACCTACAGATGAAATTATATTGAGTGATTTAATGAATAAAGCATTGAAAAGGGCAAAAGCATGTGGACATTCTTTATTTCTCCCCCTCCACTGCTTAAGTTGAACCTTTCGCCCATTGCAACAGGCTGTGGGGATGGGAAGGATGGTGGAATGAGACATACATTACTACCGTGTACACATGTATGATTACACTACTGGAGTGACTCTGAATAATGTTCAGCCAGAGGAAGAAGTTGTGCCCCATTTGTGTACAATGTGTCAAAATGAATCCTACAGTCATGTACAACAAATGAAAATAAATTTTTTTTTAATTTTTAAAGAAAAAAAATACTAGGAATTTTATAACTGGCATGAAAACAAAAATAAAATAAAAGTTATATTCTCTTTTAAAGTATCAACCAAATTGTAGGAGAAATAGAAAATAGAGTACAAAATACAAAAATAAAGCTATTTTATTAAATAAATAATAAAGTGTAGAGAAAGGTATTGGGAAGGAAAACACAGCAAAGTAATTATGTAAGACAGCTTTATCTGAACACAGGGTAAAAACAAAAAGAACTATAAATGAATACCATATTTAGTATCTTCACATTTCATATGAAATGGACTAATAATTTTAACACTAATTTATATGCACGATAGTGAAGTCAATTTAAAGATGTGTAGTTAGTGTAGCTAGATAAATCAGGTCTGATACCAAATCTAATAAAGAAAATGAAGTCGGATCTGAGCCCGGAGAAATCAGAACTACACCTGAGAGATTGAAATGTTAATGTCCCCATGCTAAAGAACTATTAATGAAGTAGCTCCCAGCAAATAGGAAGGTGCTAATCAAATCCCCCTAGGCCCTTTCTGCCCAGGTCTCTCCCCATTGGCCCACCTATTTTCCATCTTTTGGCCTTCCCACCTGATCTCCCAACCCAGGCAGGATAAAGGGAAATAAGCAAGATAAAGGACAGAAATGTAGGAAGACAAAAGAAGACCTTAGAAATAAAGGGATAAGAGCTCCGATCCCTTTGGGGGGGGTGTCTTCTCTGCTATTCTTTTTTTTTTTTTTTCCAAAGAGAGAGAGAGAATTTTTTTAATATTTATTTTTTAGTTTTCGGTGGACACAACATCTTTATTTTTTTTTTTATTTTTATGTGGTACTGAGGATCGAACCCAGGGCCCCGCACATGCCAGGCGAGCGCGTTACTGCTTGAGCCACAACCCCAGCCCCTCTCCTATTCTTTAATAAAGCCTTATACTTCCCACTCTACACTTTCCTCGGGTGCTTCTCTGGTGTTATACTTCAGCAGTCTGGGAAGCAAGGACTCTCCTGGCAGTATCAATAGAGTGAAATGGATAAGTAAATACATCAGTCTTAACTTTGTCATATACCCAAGTCTGGATATCTACCACATAGCATGATGACCGTGGGCAACATGTTCTGGGATGTACCTGCAGTTGGCTGGGACAGCAGACCCTAAGGTCTCCTCACACACATGTTAACTATGAGAGATGATGACTATGGTGATTATCTTGACTGCACTGATCATTTCAAATGTGCACACATATCAATCAGAATGTGTGTGATAGAGCTATATATTAGCTAAATCCCACTGAAGGATTGGCTGGAGCCTACAAAGCCCAGCAGTGTTCACCCTACAGCAGGAGCTAAGACTGTACCCTAGCCCAACAGTGGGAACTACTGTATATCACATCCCTGCATAAAGAGAGTCAATGCTGGGGCCCACTGCCACACCTATCCCTTTCCCTTGCTTCCACTTGAAGACCCCTCTCAACAAGTGATACCTCATACCCAAGGCAAGTCACCACCACACTGTCCACCCTGGGTCCAAGCTGTGAAGAGCTTCCCTATGCCCCAGGACGGCAATCAATGCTAATCCCTGTCCCTCACCCCAACTCCCCAGAATACAGGTCTTGAGATGTGCACTATCATTTTGGAGACCAAGCAGATGTGGGGCTCCCCAAGCTCAAAAATTAGAATTTGGACTAGGCTGTGCAAAACCAGCCTAAGGACCACAAAAACATTGCTTTGCAGGAGCAGAGCTGAACCTTGGATTCTCAGCTGCTGATGAGAAACTGATGTGACTCCATTATAAATATAAAAAAAAAAAATTAAACCAGCCTTTACCTCAAGGCCTGTCCAAAGTGACCCTTGTCCTTGGAAAAACCCACAGAGTGTTCCTAGGCACTAGCCACCCTGCTGAGTTGTTTGTCTGTTAACAGGAGAGATCTGCAGCGCCAAGTGTCCCTGACTCAGTTACGCTAGTGCCTGGAAAGACCAAAGAATGTTTGAGGCCTAATGCCTGACCATGAAGACCCATAACAACCCCCTAGAAACTACCATCAGCGGGAGAAAGGTGACCCCCCCAGTAGCCTCGGTGATTGATAACATGTTAGGAAACCATGTAGTTTAGCATGTACACCCCTCACGGATTAAACCAATCAGTTCAAACAAATCCACCTCTTGTACTAATCAATAACCCCTACCCAACTTGTTCCCGCCATTGAATGTAGTAATCAATGCTAAGAGTTGTTGTTTGATTTTCCCATGGTATGGAATGATTTGCTGTGTGATGCTTAGAGTATCCAAAAAAACTATAAAATCTCACTGAACAAAGGACCGGGACTTATTCCTCGGAACCGCTGCATCGGAAACGGTTGTGAGTACAGGCTTAAGCTTGCAATAAAGACTCTGTGTGCTTGCATCAGATTCGGCTTCTGATGATCTTTTAGGGTCCCCCAAATCTGGCATTACACTGACACATTTTTCGACCTCCAAAAAGAGATCTCTTGGGTCCCACCAAGCATTCCAAGACCGAAATGAGGTGCCATATGTTCCACAGAAGCAATGTCACCACCACCACAATGTTCCTTATCATTAGGATGTGAAGTCCAGATATGTCCACAAGAGCAGGATCCCAGCTATCCCTGCACTCTGCCTGGAGACCAGGGAACTGAGCCCACTGAAGCTAGATCTCATCAATGCCATGTGCAGGTAGAGCAGGAATGGGAGGAATAGAGGAAAAGATGGCAGGCATACACCATAGCCAGAAAAGGCAGAGAAAGAATGGTCTTGAGCCCAGGTGGAGTTGGGCTGATTCTGGCTTCTGGACTGTAGAAATGTGGGAAATGGGGTGTGTGTGTCTTGAGCCTCTTGTGGATAGAATTTGGATGCTGCACTGAAGCGACTTCCTCAGGATGGCGTGGGTCTTCCTCCATAATGCAGCAAACCCTGTCCTCTACCTTCAGCATACCAACACTAGTGTTTTTAAATGCTTCCAGAACAATTATTTTGGTGATACTAGTTTTCCAAATATAAACTGCTACTTAAGGCAACATGCGATCTGCTTCTGCCCCTCCTCTAAATTTCTCCCAAGTCTTTTTCCCATCTATGTTATAACTTGAGTGTCAGTTCATAGCCTTCAACAGTGGAGTGCTGGTGAACATGCATCTCTGGAGGGAAAGATGCAGACTAGCAGAACTAGTGCTGCCTCATGATTTCAAGCCACTCACTGTGCCACTGAGAGGGTGGGGTCTAATGTGCACTCACCATCAGCAGGACTTAGCCTCCACACATCCCCGGCTATGGCACACTAAACTAGCCACCAGGAAGCCCACCTTTCTCTAAAACTAACTTTATACAAGTAGGAGTGTCACATATAATCATTAATGAACAGACATTTCAGAAAGGAGTAGGAATTAAAATTCTATGCTATGCCACAATTTATTTCCTCCTATAATGGATATTAAAATCTAGTAGAACACTCATACATTGCTGGTGGAACTGTAAATTCATGCAACCACTCTGGAAAGCAGTATAAAGATTCCTCAAAAAAACTAGGCATGGAACCACCATTTGACCAAGTTATCCTACTCCTCAGAATATACCCAAAGGGCTCAAAATCATCATACTACAGTGACACAGCCATATCAATGTTTATAGCAGGTCAATTCACAATAGCCAAGCTATGGAGCCAACCTAGGTGCCCTTCAACAGATGAATGGATAAAGAAAATGTGGTTTATATACACAATGAAATATTACTCGGGTAAAGAAAATGAAATATTACTCAGCCTTAAAAAAGAATGACTTTATGACATTTGCAGTAAATGGATGGAGACTATCATGCTAAGTGAAATAAGCCAGTTCCAAAAAGCCAAAAGTCCAATGTTTTCTCTGATATGTGGATGCTAACCTACAGTAAGGTTGGGGGTATGGGAAATAGAAGTCCAGTAGATTAGACAGAAGGGAATGAAGAAAAGGGAGGGAGGATAGGAAAAGGAAACTTAGTGGAATGAATCTGACATAACTTTCCAATGTACAGAGATGAATACACCACAGTGAATCCCACCATCATGCACATCCTCAAGAATGGGGTTCTAATTAGAATAAATGTATTCCATGCTTGTATATTTATATCAAAATGGATTCTACTGTCATGTATTAAAAAATCAATAAAAAATAAAAAGAAAAAGGACTATAAAAAGTCTTTATTTTTTTGAAAGGAGGTAAAACTTATAGAAACTACATAAACAAATGTTTGCTATAATTCATTCAAAAATTTTATAAAAATTAGACAAATGGATATATAAAAGTATCAGTTCCATAAAAACATTAATTAGAAAAGAATTAAGAAAGGTGTCAGTTACCTTAGAAGAATGTTACAATTTAGTCAAGGACAAAGAAAGCAGGTTCCTTCAAGTACAAAAGTCATTATAATTTTTTGAATTTTTTAATTTGTTTTAATTAGTTACACATGACAGTAGACTGCATTTAGGCACTTTGATATATCATAACAGATGGGATATAATTTTCCACTTTTCTGAGTGTACCTGTTGTAGAATCACTTTGGTCATGCTGTCAGATATATACATAAAGTAATAATGTTTGCTTCATTCTACTGTTCTTCCTGTCCACACCCCTCCCCTCCCTTCCCTCTACCTAATCTAAGGTAACTCTGTGGGAGTACCAAAGCCATTATAATGAACACAAGAAGACACCCACCTGGCTTCCTTGTTTATCTGATCTCCGTACCCCACCGTCTTCACAACTGTCAGTTTCAGTTGAACCTTGCTTTCCTGAAGTTCATATGTCTGAATTTTGAGTCCAACATTCGAATAAAAATGTGAGGATTTTTTATCTTTCAAATTAGTATTAAACAACGTATTAATCAGTGTTGATTTTCCAATTCCAGTTTCTCCTGTAACCGACATAGAGAGGTCATCGCAGTGGCATAAGACGGGTTAGCAGGGACACTGAACACCACAGTGGCTGGAAGGGCCCTCAAGCCTATAAAAGTCAAACTCAGAGCAAATGGTGGATGATGGCCAGGGGCTGGGAAAGGGCCGGGAGAGGGGCTGGGAGGGAGCTGGGAGTGGGGGGATTGGGAAGGGGGACTGGGAGAGGGGCTGGGAGAGGGGGCTGGGAGAGGGGGCTGGGGGAGGAGAGGGGGTGTGGGGGTCCCAGGGAGAGAGCCCTGGCAGAAGGCTGGGAGAGGCTGAAGCACCGCTGACCACTGAAGCACACACTTCAGAGAAGAGAAGCATCTGTGAGAGTAACCTTCCAGCAGGAAGGCCATAGTTAACAGGAATGTATTGTGTCTCAAAATAACTCAAAGAAAAACTTCAATATCTCACCATGGAAACTGATAAGTAAGTGAGATGATGACTTTGTTACTTAGCTTAATTTAATCATTCTGATATTCACATATCAAAACACCACATTATACTCTACAAATGTATATAATTTGTTAATTGAAAATTATATTATATTAATCTTAATAAATGGTCCCAAATACTTGAAAGACAAATGTCTCTGGAAGTGGATGTGCTAGTCATGACTCCTTTCTTCATGGACACAGCAGAGAAAGAAAATACACACTAACCTACTACACTTTTAGAAATTCTGAAACCTTTAAAATTTGACATAGGCTAAGGAGAGGGAAACTGATACAAAATAACAAAATATTCCTAACAGAATCAGTATGATGAAGTCTGAGTCGAAATGAAGATGAGAAAAGAGGAAACTGGTCGGTTATGGTGTCTGGCACTTACCCACACAGAGAATGTTGAAAGAGAACCCTTGATGGATGGATCTGTTCACCAGCTGGTAGGGCAGATACTCGAAACCAAAATGCCCAATGGTGGTCAAGCAACGGATATTTTCTTTTTGCTTTAAGAAAAGAAAAATTTTAAAGTTTTCAATTAGAAGATGAAACAAAACCATTTGAAAGAACAATAGTGATCACATGAAGGAAAATAGAATTATCACTTGATTATCATGCCTCAGACTCTCAAGATGTAAATGTATTCAGTAAGCTTGTGCAAAAGGAAGTCTGTGCAGAAACACAGATATTGCCACAATTGTCACAAATTAACTAAATCTAGCTCCAATCACAAAAAAGACACGTTTCTAAATTTAAAAAGAAATAGGGAAAGAAGCAAATGCCTCACAAAACCCCAACCCAATATTCTAAAATAAAAATTTTTTCTACTAACAAGGAAAACTTTAAAATTCTTTTTCTTTCAGTGTGTTGATATATTAGGATTTAACATATATATGTATTATTTAATATATATATATAAACACTTAACACATGTTTACATATATAAAGTAACCAAAATCAATTTTAAATTTAAATAAAACAAATCAAATGACTTTTGCCTCAAATGGCCAGCTAGGCTGCTCCATGCCTTAGCCATGCAGATGGTGCTGCCCAGGACAGGGAGTGCTCACTGTCCTTGATGGTCAGGAAGGGACAGCTGGGTCCTGTGGCAGTTCTATCTCCAGCTTTGGGAGCATCCACAGGGGCTGTTCCAGTTCCCATTCCCACCCGCGGTGCAGGAAGCTACCTTTTCTCCACCTTGTGTCCAGCCATGGCTGTTCTATGGGCTTTTGAAAGTGGCCACTCTATCCAGGTTAGATGGTGTCTCCTGGAGGTATTGCTTTGCATTTGCCTGACACCCAATGATATTGAGCAGTTTTCAGATATTTATTGGCCATTTTATTTCTCCTTTGATAAAGTGTCTATTAAGATCATTTGCCTTTTTAAAATTAAATTACTTGGGTTTTGTGACGTTTTTGGGCTATTTTTGTATTATTGACATTAACTATCTTTTGGATGATTATCTGGAACTTTTTTTTTTTTTTTTTTTTTTTTTTTTTTTTTTTTTTGTTGGTACTGGGATTTGATCCCAGGGGCACTTAACCACTGGGCCACATTCCTAGCCTGAATGAACATCTTGAAATGTTTCCCCCCAGTAGTTTCAGAGTTTCAATTCTTAATTTAAGGCTTTGGATCCTTTTTAAGTCATTTTTCTACAGGGTGACAGATAGGGACCAAGCTTAAGATGCACCTTTCCCAGCAACATGTGTCTTTCCCAGTGTCTAGCATCTCTAAGAGTCAGTTGTCCTGGGTGCACAGGTTAATTTTAAGGTTAATTTTTATCTGTTTCATCAGGCTCTGGGCCTGTTTTTATGCCAGTGTCACACTGTTCTCATCCTTTGCTGCATGGGCTAGATACCACCACTGCGATGGAAAGTGGCCACCACCGAGGGGGCATCAGGTTTGGACAACCATAACCTGCCGTGTGAGGATTCACGCCACCTCCACGACAGAAGGCAGGTGTATCAAGCTGCACCACATCTTCAGTTCCACAACCACTTGGAAGCACAAAAGACCCTGAATAACTAAAGTAATCTTCCACAAAAAGAACAAAGCTGGAAGCATCCCAATACATACAACAGAGGCCCAATAACCAAAAGAACAGGATAGTGGCATAAAAACAGACCACAGACCAATGGAACAGAGCAAAGAACACAGAAATAAACCAATGCATCTATGCTGACTCTTCACAAAAGTGCCAAAGGCATGCATTGAAGAAAACAGACTATTCAACAAATGGTGCTGAGAAAGCTGGATATCCACATAAGGATGATTGAAACGTGACCCTCACTTCTCACCCTGTGTAGAACTCACAATGAACCAGACATACAATGAGATGCAAAATGCTGAAAGTCCTGTAGGAAGACGGAACGAAAATTTTCAAAACATTGGTACAGGCACTGCTTTTCTGATCAGGACCCCCAAAGCACAGGAAACAAAAGCAAAAATTGACAGAGTTGTGTTAAACAAAAAGCTTCTTCACAGCAAAGAAAATGAGGAGGGAAGAGACAATCTACAAAATGGGAGAAAATATTTGCCAACCATTTACCTAACAGAGAGTTAATATCTAAAGTATACAAAGAATAAAAAAAATAACAAAAAAATCAAACAATATAATCTAAAAATGGGCAAATGATATTGGACAAATTATATTGTTATACTGTGTATTGTGTGCATGTGCAAATATGCAATAAAAAATCCTATCAGTATGTACGACCATAATGCACCAATAAAATGTAAAGAAAATAGAAATGGTGAAAGTGATTAGAAAAAATTAAAAATAAAAATGGGCATATTTTCTGAACAGACACTTCTCAAAAGAAGAAATACAAATGTCCAGTAAATATATGGACACTTACTCAATAGCATTAGCCATTAGGACAATGCAAATCAACCCTAAATGAGATATCATCTTGCCTTAGCAAAAATGGCTATTATCAAAAATATAACAAATGCTGGTGAGGATGCGGAGAAAAAAGGAAACTTCATACACTGTTGGTGGAAATGTAAATTGGTCTAAACACCACGGAGAACAGCATAAATGCTCCTCCTCAAAAAGCTAAAAATAGAACTACCATATAAAGTAATTGAAGTCAGCAAACCAAAGAGATGTTGTGGCATCACTATTCACAAGAGCTAAAATCTGGAATCAGCCAAGTGCTCATCCATAAATATGTGTGGATACAGAAATACAGCACACATACATAATGGAAGATTATGTGGTCCTAGAACATGAAATCCTATCGTATGTGGCAAAACGGATGGAACAGGTAGACCTCATGTTAAACGAAATAAGCCAGACACAGAAAGATAAGTAGCACATATTCTCTCACATGTGATAGCTACAAAAAGAAAAAAGAAAAGAAAAAAATCAACCTGAACATGGAATAGTGATTCCTAAAGGTCGAAAATAGCAAGGGAGGGGCTAGGGTTGTGGCTCGGTGGTAGAGTGCTTGCCTAGCATGTGTGAGGCACTGGGTTCAATTCTCAGCACCGCATATAAAAAAATAAAATGAAGTCTATTGACAACTAAAAGTAAAAAATTTTAAAAAATGGCAAGGGAGAGAGGTCAACAAAGAAAGGTTCAATCTGATGAAATATCATGATGAGCAGAGTCCTCACCACAAGCCATAAATAGTGGAGCCACCAAGGACTGAATTTCTGAAACTATGAGCCAAAGTAACCCTTTCCTCTTGTAAGGTACTCACCTTGGGTGTTTTGTCACAGTGATGCAAAGCTGACTAGCACACCTCTTGGTAGGTTCTAGAATTTTAATTTTTCTTTGATTTTAATTAGGAATAGTCTTTTTCGCTAACAAGATCAACATATATGAATGTACCACAGTGAATTTCACCATTGTGTACCTCCACAAGAAATTAATTTTAAAAAGATAACTATGGATAAATGGCAGAAAGATCAGTAGAGGGAAGGGAGCAGGGGAGAGAAGGAGAAAGAGAAGTACTGGGAACTGAATCAGAATAAGACATAGCCCATGCTTTTATAATTATATCAAAATGGGTTCTACTGTTGTGTATAACTAAAAAGAACCAGTAAAAAATGAAAAAAAAGAAATATGCAATAAATATTTAAACCATCACTGATGTTTATGTCTAGTCAATATAAAAGACAATTCAGATTGAGACTCAGTGGTAGAGCACTTGCCTAGCATGCATGAGGCACTGGGTTCAATCCTCAACACCACATAAATGTAAAATAAAGATATTGTGTCCATCTAAAACTAAAAAATAAATATTTTTTAAAAAATTCGGAAGTGAATAGCCTCTTCCACGTAGTGCTTCCGCCATGATGAACTGCCTCATCACAGACCCAAGAGTAATGGGTCAAGCAGTTAAACTGAAACCTCCAAAACTCTGAGCCAAATAAAACTTTTCTTTTCATTAAAAAAAAAAAGCCAATTCATCACCAAACGTAACAAGTCTTTCTCATCTAGAAGCAAATCAGATTACTCAGTCAATACTTAGAAACTGTACAATTTTATTGAAGTACAAGGGCAGAATTGCATTGGAAAGATATACTTAACTATATCTTCATCATTTGGTATATGTGAGGGTATGCACTTTGTTTTTTCTGCCATGCCAGGTTGAAAGAACTGAAATGAAAAGACAAGACATTTTCAGATTTACTCAACAAGGTTAAGTTCCTAGCGTGACCGAGCACAGGGAGTCCAAGACAGACACTACCATAAGTGTCAGCTTTCCGTGTACACTGATGACTTGGTTCATGTTGCAGCTGTCTTGTTAGACAGGCTTGCACATAATAAATAACACAGCATTCAATGTAGGACTTAGAAGAAAACATTTCAGTCACAAACAGAAACATGCCAGAAAGGCTCAGCTCCTTTTGAAATCAAGAGGACAAGACTGTTCTTTCTCAGAGGACTCTCTGGCCATGAGAAAGGAAAGTGGAGAACCTTGCTGAACACTGTGCTGGAGCAATGAGAAGCACACTCAGCATTGCTTAGCTTTCTGGCTCCGTGTGTTAGACTGGCCCCTGACTGAGACTCAGGAGTGCGGAGCTTGCAAAGCTTGTGGAAGCAAGGGCCCAGGGAGCTGAAGCGAAGCCCCTATGTTACCAGTGCTGTGCTGGGGGCTGTGGCCTCATCTCCCCTAGTGCTGACACATTCTCCTTAGTCCTGGTCCTGGGGCAGGTGAAAACTCCACATTCAGAAACACTACATGACTTACCTGCCCAGAGCTTCAGATGTGAGCAGACACAGGCTCCACTGACTCCCCAACTGCTCTTCTTTCTTCTGCCCTCGAAAGTGGCCAGATTGATATGCCTGTGTTTGCAACAGTTGGGAACAAGGAGGGGAGGGACAAAGGACAGGCTGTGCCAGGCTTCCTGAGAACACTGTGCTACCCTATTTTTGAGTACATCACAAAGATACTCAATATGAGATACATTTTAAGGCTAATGTGGGTAAAACAAGAAGAAAAGCAAACTTAAGGACACTGCTCCAATCCATGCCTCTTCCTTTGCTCTGCCCAAGGAGCACCCACCTCAGTTTAGAAATCGGTCCTACCTTTTTCCTTGCTGTTAAGTAGGGTTCTCTAGTTAGACTGTTATGTTCTGCTGTACAGTTTATTCTCATCTAGTGTCTAGAAACTTACTGCTGGTCAGTGCAATGATCTCCAGTCCTTAACTAGAATTGATAATAAACTAAACCACTGAGAGAGAGGGCACAGGTTGCTTCTTAATTTCTTTTGTTTATCCTCTTGCAGAGTTTGAAGTAACTACAAATTGGAAAGTCTCTATCTCTGTCTAACTGCTGATCTGGCAGTATGTCTGCTAAAGGTGGCTTGAAAACTAGATATGCAAATTATCTTGTGCTTAAAAGTGTAATTACCAATGCATTACCAAATAGAATATTCTAAGTTAGAATATTCTAATAAAATTTTCTTCTCACCTAAGTCTAGGGAAGAAGTTCTCTGAGTATGGTCCCTGGGCAGCTAGGAATCCCTACAATTCTTTCAGGGTACCCATGAAAGCAGTGTCACCTGCTGTCCCCACCCCTTGTCATTCACACAAGAAAAGTAGAAGAAGCCGATCACCCATGAAGTACATACGTTGTACTAAGTGTCTTGAGGAAAACAGGTGATGTGACTGACCGTAAGAAATGGTGACACCCTTCTCACGGGCCATTCTAACCACACAAACAACAGACAAACTTCGGTTATTCAGGCCTCGGTATTCCTAAAACAGTTTCTTGAAGATTCACTGTGATTTGTAACATCAAGGAAAACAGCTGGACCCAGGATGGTGGAATTCCTGACCCAGGGTCCGCCTTCCCCTCCACAGAAAATAACCACAGGAACAAATGCACAGACACATTTTGAGGTTAGTGGCCGTGGGAGGACATGGAAATCAGCAAGGAACCTTGAAAGATTTGGAGACCTAGAACAAGAACATGAAAAGAGAAACAAAATATCCTAGCCTCTGCCAACCAGCTCACATCAGAAAGAGGAGTTCCCCCTTGGCAGGGTTGAGGGTGAAGGAGAGGGTCCTGGGAACTTCCCAGCACAGATGCTGATGATCTCAGTCTCTGGACATGATTTTCACAGTGGCAGCTCACTGAAGCAAGTTACCTGAATCTGTTGTACCGTAGCTTTGCTTTGGAAAAATATCCAACATCCTATCCTACGAAAAGCCCAGGTGCCATAGCCAAAAGTCATGTTGAGCAGAAAGTGCCTGACCTGGGCTGCATGTGTGGTCAGAAGCCACCACGAAACCCCGTCTGGAAACACACAGTCCATTGTGCTGGCCGGGCGGGTGACTGCCGCACACACCCAGCTGGACTGAGGGGACTGTGACCAAAGCACTGGGTGTCCTGTGCTATAGAGAACCAGTTCATGACACAGACAATACAATAGAGGGCACTGCCCTAACAGACCAGAGCTGGAGGAACTGCCTTCTGAGGCCCAGGGGTGTTGTAGGTAGTGTCTGCTCTGGAGAGATTAGATCAAAACACCCCACAGCATGGCCATTGCTGATCTTTGCTGAGAGTCTGGAGCCTCCCAGGAGTTCCCCTCCAGGAGTAGGGGAGCCAATCCCTCACCGCTCTGCTGGCCACCAACACAGCCTTCCCAGGCTGAGTCGCTGAGAGTATTCCCACCGGCCTCAGATGATCATGTGAGCTGCCAGACTCAAAGGGAAAGCCAGTTGGGCTCCCTCCCCTTGGCTTTTCTGACTGAATCCCCCTAATACAACTTTCTCTGTACATCTTTTGCTCCTATTCCTTTAGCTACACAGTAGGCACTTGCCAGGACAGTGTGACCATATTTTCTATGACCTCCCAGCTCCACAACAGCAGCTGCAGCATGGCCTCCTCCAGATGCTCCTGCCTCAGCTCTCTGCAGCCAGTGGGGAAATAGACAGCATTTGCAAACACCTCTTCTCAGTGCAGCCTCTGGATCAGCTAAGTCCAGGCTGCCTTCCTGATTCCAGGTGTTTCTGTCCACATCTGTCCATTGTGTCTCCCTCTGTGGTGAATTAGTGCTGCAGCCGCAGACACTGCCACACCTGGGTCAGCTCCAAAGTAGTCTTTCTCCTTTGTTCAATGTGCCCAAATTTCTGAGTCCCTAAGACACTCTAACTGTTCAGTACTGAGTTTTAGTACAATTCCTCTTTCACCCACCTGGCTGAGAAATATACCCTGTTGCATCCCACGACTAAATCAGCCAGGGTCACTCCAAGTGAACTGTGCTGGCACACTGGGCTGGCATGAAATAATCAAACAGAGAGAAATATCTTTTTTGGAGGGTAGGAGGGGTTCTGTGATGGCTCCTCTGACCTAGCTCCCATAAAGGAGGCAAGGCAGGCAAGGCAGACAAGAAAAAGAGGGAGAGCGTGCCTCAAACCTGGGTTTTATTGGGGGAGGTTGTTGCATGGAATATTCTATCCCAAAAAGGGCAAAGGGGTAGGATTACAAAGGAATAGGTGAGTGTAACTCAACCCCAGCCCCAGTGGGGTGACACCTACACCTTGTTATCTGAGCTGGGGTAACAGCCAAATTACTGACACTGAAGGCAATAATTGGTCAGAACCCAGTGCATCAGTACTTAAAGGTGTCTGCATCCAGGGCAGCACCCACTGCACCTGAATCCCAAGCAACTGGAAATGCCAGCTTCCTCCAGCCCACTATCTTGAATCCTGTGTGTGGAGTTAGAATGCAACATTAAAACAACAAGAAAATAGAAGGGAACCTGTAGAGAAGAGGAGGGTTATTATGAAGCTGGAAGAGGGGCAGGAAAGAGAAAGTAGTTGGTACTTAAATGGAACAAAGAAGGTACATACAGGGCTGGGACTGTAGCTCAGTGGTAGAGAGCTTGCCTAGCATGTGTGAGGCACTGGGTTCAATTCTCAGCACCACATATAAATAAATAAAATAAAGGTCCATTGACAACTAAAAAATACATATTTTTAAAAAAGAAGGTACATACACAATATGCCACAATGAACCCCACTGTTATGTTTAACAAGATGCACTAATAAAAACATTACAAAGAAAATATCTCTCTGAAGGTCTGACCTTTCATCAGAAACTCCTGTGACACACAAGAATAAATCTGGCACGTTCTGTAGGGTAGCTGGCTGAAGCTCCACATCCAGCCCTCCTCCCCAGTGCTACTTTCAGTGGGATTAGTCATACATGCAGTTCTGACCAGAAAAAAAAAAAAAAGGAAACAGAAATATTTTGGAATTTCTAGGAAATTTTCTCCCTGTAATATTGGACATAATTTTTTAAATAAAAATAATTAAGAACATATTTTGTGAATAATAAAATTTAAGTGTCAAATCTAAAATTAGTTTTGTGATACTCTGTATCCACCATAATCACCTCAACAATTTCCCAACACTTAAAAACATTCCAAGAATGGTGATTATATTTACAAATACAAATTTTTATAATATGTAATAAAATGTGTCAAGATTAAATAGATGGATTTCCCAACTACTGACACTTTGATCTGTGCTGCTGTTTTGTGGGACTCTCCTGAGGCTTGCAGGAGGTTTAGCTGCACCTCTGGACTTTATCCACAAGGTGTCAGGAGCAACCACCAAGTGGACAAGCAAATCCATCTCCAGTCGTTTTCTAGAGCACAAATTAGCCCCAGCTAAGAACAGCTGAAATAGATAATTCAGTAAACAAATGTTTTCCCAATGACTCATGCATGACATCACAAGTCAGTTTGAGTTAAGCAAGCAGATTTTAATGTACAGGGATATAATTTTAGATTTCATTTTGCAACTAATCTTGTCAAGTTTTGGTGGAGTATCAAAGAATATTCACCACTATGTGGGAAGAGTACTTAAAAATTTGTTTTCCCAATTACAGATTGTTCCTCAATTTAGATGGTTCAATCTATGACTTTTTCAATTTTGTCAGGAAAGCCCTCAAGGAGCTATTGTGATATTGTTACACATCATGTTGACTGGGTCAGGTGCTTTAAAGGCTTTTTTTTTTTTTTTTTTTTTTTTTTTTCAGTGCAGGATTGATCCCAGGGGCTTGTGCATGCTGGGTCTTTTTAAAAGGCTTTATGTTGTTTTCTGACTGTGTTATTTCAAATTATCTGTCCTAAAGTTTATGCATTCTTTCTTCTGCTGTTGAAACTCTCCATGGGTAATGTGGACTTAATTTTAACAATGTTAATTCTTATAATGCATTAATATGTGAGAACTTTTCATTTATTTGCTCTCTACAATGCCTTTCTTCAATGGTTTATTGTTTTCATTACAGAATCATTTCCCTCATTGAACAAGTTTCTAAGCATTTCATGTTGTGTAAATGCAATTGTTTCCTTGATTGGTTTTTCAGAGTTCGCTGTTAATGTTTTAAATGATACTGGTTTTTGAATATTGATTCTGAATTGCAACTTTGCTGAATTCATTTATTGTTTTATGTGGGGAGCCAGTCCGAATGATTCATATTCTCCTTCCCAGAGCGGAGAAACTTTGACCGTAACTACATCTCGTAGTGACCTGGACATTGCCCTGGTCATGGAAGTTTGAGGACACGTCTTCAGATATAGGCGTGTCGCCCCATGGATTGAGCTACGCTCATCTGTTCCTTTGTGATACTACCCCTTTGCCCTGTTTGGGATAGAATGTTCCGTGGAAACACTTTGTGTGTCCCTTCTCTTGCTGTGCCTTTGGGTGTGGCCTTCCTAGATGTCAGCCAATCTGCTGACAGCAGACATCACAAAGCTAGACTCAACCCCTTAAACCTGACCCCTTGCCTCATTTGAATGGCTTCTCCCCAATAATAGGGTTCAACATACGCTCGCTCTCTTTCTGTGGACCCTTAAGGTCAGAGGAGCTGGCACAGGACCCCAAAGAAAAAGGTACCTTTGTATCTTGTGTGGTTATTTGGTGCAGCCCAGTTCCCCTGGGGTGACCCTGAGTGTTTTAAGTAGTGAAGAACATGACAGTTCTAATCACTTTTTGGTGCAGCTATTAAGGGCTTCTTTCCTTTTTCATTAACATGTGCTAATTGTATAGGTTCGTGTGGTTCAGTGTAATATTCCAAAACAAGCACAAAGCAGTTGCTGGTCGAACCCAATCAACCCCTTCCCTCCCTCCCCCTTGTACCCTTCCCAGTCCCTGGTATTCACAATTCTATTTTTCAACTGGACTTCTATAGCTCGACCATGGATCAGAGAGAACAGGGCACTTGTCTTCCTGTACCTGGCTAATCTGACCTGATGTAATGTCATCCAGATCCATCAAATCACTGCCAATGGCAGATTTCTGGGGTTGCTGAGTCTTGCAGCCATGTCAAGGCCTTCTCTCCCTTCTGAGCACCTGATGGACACATTTAAGAGTTTTCAGTTATCCAGTAGTTTGGGGGTTGTGACAAATTATGTTCTCCAAAAATATGCCAGACACCTTTCTGGTCCCAGGGGCTCTTCTAGAACATTGCAAATTTATCATCAAAGCAATGAAAGCTACTCCTTCCCTTAAACTCAGACTTATGTGGCTATATCAAAGAATTTCCATTTCTGTGGAGGCTGCAAAAATGATACTGCCTGATGTCTGCAGCTGTATCCCAAAAGGTCATGTGACATCTGCCTGGCTCTCTATTTAGGGAACCTGACAGCCATTCCATGAAGAAGCTCAGCCACAGGCAGAGGCCAACAGTCTCAGCTAAGACTGACAGCCCATGGAAGACAGTTCTCAATGAGTTTCTCATGCTCCTGCACATCTTGAGAGCAAAGGCACCCAAGAAAAAGGACATCAGGAAAGTAGAAAAGAGATCACTATGTTAGAGGAAGAAGACCAGATGGGGGAGGGGAGGGCCAGAGAGGCACTAAGGAGTGAATCTGATCCTATAATGCTACATGCGTGTATGAATATGCCACAACTGAACCTACTATTCTGTGTAATTAATATGCTCCAGTTTAAAAAAAAATCCCACGATAAATAAATAAATAAATAAATAAAAATAGAACTGCCATATGACTCAGCAATCTCACTGCTGGGTGCACAGCCAAAAGAAACAAAATCAGTGTATCCAAGTGACAGCTGCTCTCAGGTGTTCATTGAAGCAATATTTTCACAATAGCCAAGAAAGGGGTACACTCTAAGTGTCCATCAGTTGATGAATGGATAAAGAAAATGTGGTACCTATATGCAGTGGAATGCTATTCAGCCACACACACAAAAAAAAAAAAAAAAAAAAAGAAAGAAAGAAAGAAAGAAATTCTGTCATTCATAATGACAACATGGAGGGAACTGGAGGACATTACATTAAGTGAAATAAATCTGAAAATTTCATTCATATATGGAATCTAAAAAAAAATATGATCTCAAAAACTGTGCTCTATCTGTGTAATATGAAATGAGTTGCATTCTGCCATCATGTATAACAAATTAGAATAAATAAATAATTTTTTTAAAAATGTGATGGCTCAGTGGTAAGTTGCTGGCCTGGTATCTGGGACCAGAGTTCATCCCCAGAACCAGAAAAAGAATGGTGGTCCCCAGAGGCCAGGGAAAGCAGAGCCTGGGGAAGGGTGGGAAAGTTGATCATACCATGGAGCTGCACTTGGGAGCAGGAAGTTCTGGTGAACTCTTGCACCCTGAGTGACTAGATAATAATGTGCTGTGTGTTTCAGAAATCGAGGAGAAAGGATTTTCAAAGTTTTCCCCACAAAGAAATGACAAACGTCTGATTGGCTTGATCTGATTGGCTTCGGAAATCACTTGTCCCAGACATGATACTGTTTCTTTCTTTCTGCTTTCTTACACCACCACCCCACCTACCATTCCCCACCCTGTGCTGGGGTTGATACTGTTTCTTAATGAATTCAACTTAAAATTACAAGACAAAACAGCATTGTTGTGGGAGACCAATCTCGCACTGACAGAGTTAACTCCCCTGCTGGGCGATGTGGCACCCACGCTGCTAGAGTTGAGTCTTCGTGCCTGGGAGTGACTTCCTACAGCCTCAAGGGTATGCCTTTTAGCATCTGTTCCTTTGTAATATAACCCCTTGCCCTGTTTAGGGTAGAATCTTCCATGGAAGTGCCTTGTGTGTGTCCCCTTCTCTTACTGTGCCCTTGGGTGTGGCCTACCTAGATGTCAATCAACCTGTTGACAGTGGACATCATGAAGATAGACTCAGCCTCCTGAAACCTGACCCCTTGCCTCATTTGAATAGCTTCTCCTCAATAAAAGGGGTCAGCAAGTCACCCTTAAGGTCAGAGGAGCCTTCACAGCAACCCCAAAGAAAAAGTATTTGTGTCTCTTGTGTGGTTATTTTGCACAGCCCAGTCAGCCCAGTTTTCCTGGAGTGACCCCTGAGCCTTTTAGTCACAAACATGAAACCAGCAATTGGCGTCCAACGTGGGAACGAAAGGCCTGAGTCTTTAAGCTGCAGGGTCAAAAGCGACAATTTGTAACATACAGCTTATGCTACAATAAAGTTACCTCAAGGATCACTGGCTGAATCACAGTATCAGGCTGCTTTATGCATTCCCAGTGCTGTCATGAGCAAAAACAGGAAGTGAGACCCTCATCTCCAGGCAGAACTAGCAGTGGCTGTATTTTCCAAGCTCAGACTATAGTTGTGGTGGCATTTTCGGACCTCCGTGCCACTGCAAAGGAAATTTCCATATTTCAAAATCCATTTAACTATTGCCGTCAAGGCGCTTTCACCTATCCTTCCACTCTACGTGATTAATCTGCCACATAGTGAAATGCTAAAAGGCAGTATCAAGAGAATCATGGAGGGGCTGGAGTTGTGGTTCAGCGCTAGAGTGCTTGCCTAGCACGTGTGAGGCCCTGGGTTCGATCCTCAGCACCACATGAAAATAAGTAAATAAAATAAATGTATTGTGTACAACTAAAAAATAAATATTTTAAAAAGAGAGAGAGAGAACCATGGAATTCTATAAACACACTAGGAGTGATGCATATGCTCAAGTTAAATTATACGCTCTGGGATGATACCCATGTTTGACAGCACTTGGCTATCTGATGAAGTTTTTAAAAAATGAAATATGTAAAATTTCATTATAACTAGCATAAATAGGTAATCTTTTTTGGTGATAAAGAACACTAACTTGAGCCTGGGTTAAGCAAAATGTCATCCCCTTGTAAAGAGCCCCACTCTTCTCAACAGCAGACCTGTAACGGTTCAATTACTATATTTTGAGGTTCACCAAAGTAAAATGGGGAGCAGAAAGCGATTTGTGCCTCGACTCTGGCACATTGGAACCTCGGTGTGATTGGCAGGGTGCGCGGGGGTGGGGGGGTGCTTCTATCTGCCCCTTGACCGGCCTCGGTGTGGTTGGCAGGATGCGGGGTGTGGGGACTTAGTCTGCACCTCGGAAGGCCCCCAAGTGATTGACAGGGTGCCGGGCCCTCCAGCGGCACCTCAGGCGGCCTCCGTGTGATTGGCCGGGTGCGGTGTGTCTCCACCTGCACCTGGGCGGCCTCCGTGTGGTTGGCAGCGTGCGGGGCCTCCACCTGCACTTGGGCTAGCGCCCACGGCGGATTACATCGGAGGCCCAGAGGCTGCAGGGCTGCAGTCCCAGCCGCCACTCCCTACAGAGGGGGCGCCGCGCATGCGCCCCCCGAGCCCGCGTCGCCATTGCGCAGGTCGCGGTGGGCCGATCGCCAGCGCTTGCTCCGCCTCGGCCGGCGGCGCCCTTCCGCTCCCGGTGCAGGCTGCGGCGTCGGGGCGGCGCGAGGGCCTCAGTCCGCGGAGCCGGTGAGTGCGCCCGGGAGAGGCGGCCTGGGCAGTCCCAGGGCAGGGCCGCCCACCGCTGTGTGCGCCGCGCCCGGGGCTAGGAGCCCGCGCGCTGGTCCCCGAGCCCCAGCGTCTCTTCGCCGACCGCTCCCAGGTTCTCGACGCGGTGGGTTGGCCTTTATCACACAGCGGGTCTGCGATGCTCCCCGCGCAGCCCCGCGGTCTGCAGGGCACGCCACGCGCCGCTTTTCTGCTTGGACTGAGATGACAGCTGATGTCAGTTCCTGAGAAGGAAGGGGAAACTGATGCCGCCGAACGTTGTTTTGCTGGAATCTATTATATTGCATGCTTCAAAATAGTCTGATATAAAGCATAATGAAACTGGATGTCCAAAAACACTCCTTAAATCGTCGGTAAATGTACTAGTGGAACTAAAGCATTTACTAGACTACATGATGTCACTCTAAAGACTACTTGCTCGTGCACTGACACTCTGTTACCATAGCCTTAAGTGCCTTGCTGCACAGTTCCCTGTCACTGTAACTACTGTACTGACAGGTCTTCACCTTCTCCCACCATCAGAATGGCATTGATAGGGATGACTCCAAAGGCTGTTCCCGAACGGGGATGACTGCTCAGGCCCCGAGTTCCGCTAGATGATTTGTACCTTTCCACCTTTGCTCTATACACTAAATATGTTATGTGTGCTTTTAAATCTTAGAAAAGAAAAAAAGCGTGCCAGGCCCATGGAAGATAGGAAGCCTGGAAAACTTACAGATTGGAAGAGACTAAGGAAAAATAGCTAAATGCAATTTAGGATCCTATATCAGAGAAAGAGTGTTACTGAAAAATTACAAGATGTGACTAATTTGGGTTAATCGCACCGATGTTCATGTCCTGGTTTTGATAATTGTACCATGGTTATATGAAATATTAACATTCGGTAAGCAGGGTGAATGGCATACAGGAATTAAGCATGTACTTCTTTTGCAACTTTTCTATAATTCTAAAATTAGTGTAAATTTAAATATTTTAATAGAAAAGTAAACACTAGAAACCTTTTATTTACTCATTTATTAAATATTTATTTAGTCCCTACTAACTGCTGGGCCCTGGGCATTGAAAATAGAAAGGTAAAAAATCAGACTGTATTCCTGACTTCATGAAGATGTTTGAAGATGGCTTGCTGAATGGATAATTACAGCGATAAAAACTGCCACTTGAAAAACTGGTAATTGAGGGATCTCACCTGGTCTGTGATATCAGAATCTTTCCTGATTTAATCTGAGACTTGAAAAATGAGTAGATGGCATAAAAATATTTTCAAACTAAACATATGAGGTTTTATCTGGGGTTCACAATGGACATTAAATCTTCCTATCAAGATTTGTAGCAAAAAAAAAAAAATATTTAACTTTGTTGAAGCCAGCATTTTCCAAATTTGATATGCTCTCTTTTTGTGAGTAACAGGCAGTGAGATACTATTTAACACACTTTAGAAATGTCACCTCAGTAATCTCGGGAGTCCTTTTCTTATATATAAAGGAGAAATCCTGTTCTGCCTAACAGTTATTGGGGTTTTTTGGTATGAGATGCATGGCTTTGAGGTGACTGGGTCTGAAACTTAAGGGTATTTTTATTAAGTTCTCTCTGGCTTTTCTGACAGTGGGATTTTTTTCAGAGCTGTGAAATTTGAATCTAGCCCCTAAAGTGTTTTGTGAAATGTTAATCTTAACACCCCCCTATCCCAGGCAGTGAATGGCTACCTTATTTAATAGAGCCATTCTACTAGAATTGCATTTTTCTCTCTTTAAAAAAAAAATGTTTTCTTCATGATTATTAGCAAATGAGTGCATTTCACTCTGTGGCTGTAATGCCTGTTTTTCCCCCTTAAGGGGAAGAAACTGCTCTTTGTGAAAGAGCAGGACAAGGAAGAGGCAAAGGTAGGACTGAGGCTGAATATCTTAAGAGTCAGATCATCTGTACTTCCCTGCTTTTTGTAATGTGCAAATCGGAAATTCTGAGTGTGCTTTTGATTCTTAAAGATTGCCACACCTAGCTGTGCTCTGTCTTTATGAATGAAGAGTTTGCACTTCTCTTTTCAGACTCCTTACGTCTTTAGCTAAGACTTCTGAGTTTCTTCTGTGACTTTGATGGGTGTTGTAGGTGCTTGACCTGCAACTGTATCTCACAAGATCCTACCAAGGGACAGATATGAGTCTCATAGCAAAGTCCTCACATATGGTTGAGTAATAACTATCTTCAGGAGCCTCTGCATCTCAGCTCTGCATGAACAAGGCAAGATCCCAAGGGTGGATGTTGCTAAGAATCAAAAATCATTGGCTCCTGATTCTCAGCCACCTCAGAGTGGCGTTACTCATATGTAATGTCCCTAAAATCACTTTTAAAGACAGGCTAGGATACTGAAACTGCTGGCACTGGTGCATCTCCTGACTGGAGAGGCTATTCCAGAAGAGTCATCACCCAGGAGCTGCAAATAGGTGCAGTAGTAGCTCTGGTGAGAATGGAACACAGATACCTGAAGGAAGGAGAGTACAACCTCCCTTGTGTACTCAGAGGCCTCCTGAGAGCAGAGGAGCAGGTCTCTGTAGTTTGGGCTGAATTTAACACTTGGGGAGATCAAGATTAGACAGGTCCTCAATGTGTGTTTTCTGCCATCACCTCATCTATTTTATATCCACAGTTAGAATCACTTGGCACTGTCAGAATTTTGAGTGCTGTTGCCTATCGTCAAGGATGCAAATAACATTAATTGCTGGCAAGGATGTGGGGAAAAGGGTACAGAGGAGAGGAAAAGGGAAGGTACTAGGGAATGAGACTGATCAAGTTATGATATACACATGCACAAATATGACATAATAAACCCCACTAATTTGTATAATTATAATGCATCAATAAACAAATAAAATTTTTAAAAAACTGCTGCCCAGGCCTCCTGCATACCAGTGGGTTTCTGGATCTGTGAGAGCAGGAGCTGGGCACTGGCATCCTGTTAAATGTCTCCAAGTGTGTGGTTGGGGTCAAGAACCACTGAGCTCCCCACCTGCCACACAAGAATGCCAGCCTCCATCCTTTCCCTCCTTCCCAGTGGCTGTATGCCAGAGGAAGGAAGTCCTGTGTCGAGTTCCCCAGGGTCATGGAGGAGCAGGGATACCAGGGTCCAGCTGTTGTTGAGGTCCTCTCTATGAGCTGTCTGCCATCCCAACACAAAGGCCCCAAGGTTTAAATTTAGCCCCAGTATTATATATTAACAGGGTGGTTCTACTCTTTTCCCAGTGATGCCCTCTCTGAAGGCTGTGCTTTCCCAAGAGGGGTGTGGGGAGGAGGAAGTGAACTATGGATCACAGACAGTCAGGTCCCAGGTAAGTCCCATTTCCTCTCCTCTCAAATGCTGTTATAGTTCTCGTTGATCATTCCTTTCTCTGTGGCTGGAACATTCTCTTCTGGGCTGCAGTGGTAGAGCACTTGCCTAGCATGCACGTCCGGAGTCAGTGCCCAGCACCATAAAGTCTTTACCTCTGTTTTGAAATGTACAGTGTTAACTGTATCCATCCCATGGTCCAGTGGAACACCAGAATTCCTTCCTCCCGTTTACTGTGACAGCACTCATGACCCAGTCCTCCCATCTGCCCCTCCCCTCTCCGCCTCTAGTAACCACTGTTCCCTGTGCAGTCAGCTTTTATATGTTGATCAAAAATGAAACAACACTTTAAAAAAATAATGAGGAAGCTGTGTCCTGTTAGGTCTGAGAGGGAAAGATCTCCGAGTCCATTATTAAATTAAAAATAGTGTTTAAAATATGTTACTTTAGAAGTAAAAAAAAAAAAAAAAAAACAGGAAATAATCTATATTCACATTTGCTTAAAGAAAAATTCTGGAAAGATACATTGGAAACTAAGAACAATTCTGATCTATTGGGAAGTAGAAGCTGGCCAAAGAGAGAGAAATCTGAAAAAAAGACCCTGCTTTATTATGTATTTTTTATATTTTTGTTACTATGCCATAATAATATATTACCTACCCAAAGATAAAATTCATTAAGGATTTGGAAGAAAGAAGAACTGGCTCACCAGATGTAGGGTTGCCAGTAGAAGGTGTGAAAGGGAGGAAAAGCTAGAAGCAGGGTACTGACCCCAACAGCCACAGTGGAGCTCAGCACACCAGAGGCCCTGAGCCCAAACTCTTAAGACCAAAAAATAAAAATACATAGTGTAGGCCTGGGTCCCTTGTGGACACAGCTTCTGGTGCTGCCTCAGAGAAAGACTGGCGAGGGAAGCACCCAGAAGGAAAGAAGGCATCTGTGTGGTGTGACGGGAGCACAAGCTCTGGAACAGGCGCTAAGGAGGAATCTGCCAATTTATGTCCTTGGATGAATTGTTTGATTACTTCTAGCCTCAGTAAGTCATTGAATTGAAATATACTTTAGAAAGATGAATCATCAAGACATGAAAATTAAATAAAATCACAGTCATATAGCTAACTTGTGGGAGATGCATTTGTTTGTACCCTAAAGTGGGGAGCATTGCAGGTGGAAGGAGGGATAGATCTCTGTATTAGGAGGGGGTTACCAGTGTCTGGCAAAAGATGGCTTACAAAACATTGGTGCTGGAGGAATTTGGAGGTCGCCCTTTGTATTTTAAATCCCTGCCTGAAAGGAGTCAATTTCTTTTACTAACCCCAACTTGGATCCGTGACTTCTACTCCCACTTTGTCTGCCTTTGTTGCTTTTTTTTTTTAAACATACCAAGTATCCTCTCTCCTGTCCAGTTCATAACAATCTATTAAGGATTTACACAATCTATTAAGGATTTCCATCTACATGATACCTAATTTCAGTTTCAAAATATCTTCAATTCTTTCATTTCTGAAATCAATTTCTCGTATAGTCTTTTGACTGTGTGGATGAGATGAGAATCTTTACCCTGCAACAAATTGCAAATGCTTAAAAGCAAAGAATATGTCATGCATTTTTGTGTTTTGTTTTTTTGAGATGAGGTCTTACTGTGTGGTCTGGGCTGTCCTCCAACTCAAAACCTTCCTGCCTCAGCCTCCCAGGTAGCTGCAATCACAGACCTGCAACACCAGCACCCAACTCATGCACATTTTCAGGTCTTAAAAGGTGACAGAAAGACAGGCATTTGTGGTCTGGAAAGGTTCATCCTGCATTGCTCAGTCCAAAGACCCTCAGAAGAATGCTCAGGCATGCTTCTCTTCCCTGTGCTGTTTTCATCCTTCCTCTGAAGGCCTCTGAAGGGCGCTTCTGCCTGAGTGGGGGTGTGCTTGGTGTTTCAGGAATCGCTGACATTCCAGGACGTGGCCGTGAACTTCACTAGAGAGGAGTGGGAGCGGCTGTACCCTGCTCAGAAGAACCTCTATCGGGACGTGATGCTGGAGAACTACAGGAACCTGGTGGCTCTGGGTAAAGGTGGCATCCCCCTGAGGCTGGAAACTGAGTTTCCTTTCTCAGTGGCGACAGTCAGCAGAGCCTCTGTAAAGGCTTTCATTTTCTGTCCCTCTCTGTGAGTGTGAGAGGAGGAGTTCATCTTGATGCCCCTGAAGCCTCCCTTCTCCAAGCCCAGAGCCCCTAGAGATGGACCTGTTTTTGCTCCCAGCATGAACTCCTAAGACATCCTTTTTTCCATGTATAGGGCATCAGCTTTATAAGCCAGAGGTGATCACTCAGTTGGAGCAAGAGGAGCTGCGGTTAACAGAAAGAGATGGCCCCCTGGAAACCCCTCCAGGTGAGAAGTGAGCAGTGGGCATCTTATACCCTAAGGGGAAATCATCACTTCTGAAATGAGTGTTCATTGGGTATACTCTGCTCTCCCCCAGGATTTAAAGAATACTGAGGCCTTTGAAAAAAATTCAGTTCATATTTTATTTCCAAAGTGGAAATGGCTGTTTTTTTTTAATTCAACAAAATATATACTTACTATTTAAAAATATGGAATACAAAAGTTATTTTGCAAGTCTTAATTTGAACTCCCATAAGTACCTTAATGCTACAGATCTCCACAAAGCATTTTCACTGCATTTCTTATTCAGATGTCCTCTCAGTATTCTTTAAATCCTTCTTCTCCATATCAAAAATGCTGTATTTTTGCCTACTTTTTCTTTTTCCTTTTTCCTTTTATTATCAACTCTTTAAATTTAGTTAAGCCTTCAGCCTGCACGTCTTTGTGATACAACCCTATTCTACCTGTGCTGCTGAAATGGTTTTCCTGGAGACTATTACTGACTTCTTTCCAATCAAATCCAGTGGCTGAAAAGCCGCCCATGTCCTGCTGGTCTGATTGTGTTGGCCTGCCTTCTTGACACTGCCTGGCTCCTCTAGTCGCTGTTGTGCCTCTGTCCCTCCTTCCTCTCCCGCCTTCTCCTCCTCCTCCTGCTGGTGAAGGCACCAGGTGTTCTGCTTTTCAGTCACCCTGCCATGTTATTTTCCCACTCCTACATTTCCAGCCCACGTTTCACACACATGCTCCTTCCAGATTTTAGATTGCATTTTTGCTTATTAATGTCATGCTATCACTTAATTGAAGATTTCAAAACCCAGGTCTGTTCACTTTCTCCTCTCCTCTTTGAGCTTCTTAAATATGGGCTTTCTTGACCAGGGAATATTAAGAGCTCCTATTTTGGGAACACACCAGCAGTGTTCTGCCTGCTTGCTTCAGCAAATGCCTGCTGAGGTGGGCATGTTCTTTCTGGTTGCTGGAGCTGGTTCACCCACCACTTCCTGTCTAGTTCACTGATTCTGTGCCCTGACACCTGGTTTCACTGTGTGCACATGGTTTTCTGCCATTCACACTTCTACTTTCTTGAGTTGGCTTTGGCGTGTCTCTAGGTTATGTTAGTAATAAGCTCACCCCCACTTCGGCCCCTCAGTGAGCACAGTCTGCTGATTAGGATGTGCGGTGAAGAACCTGACAATCACAGTGGCATATTTTTACAGCCCTTCACACCTCTGAACCTGGGGAGCAGGACACTGAAGGAAGAGATTATAAAAACTCCCTTTGCAGGTAAATTGCCAAGGCAGGACCTACTGAAGAGAGCAGAGCTGATCCTTCCCCAAATTGCATATACTACACCTGTAGGACCCATGCTGTCCCCTCTTGTGTCCCTACCCACAGGCCTCCAACTAGAAAAATCAATTGCTAACCATAGAACAACTTCCCAACTTCATTATGCAACTACACATGGATGCCCAGGGCTCTCAGGTCCTCTCAAACAGCTGGTTCCTTTTCATGTCCCTCCAGGGGCATGCAGCCTTGCAGTCTCTTCCAGGGAAACCACTTGCTAGTTCTTCCCTGTCCTGTGGGACACAGCCATCTGTCCTCATGAAGGTGTGGTGAAGCCCTTCTGTTGCTCGGGACTGAGAAGATGACCTAGCTGTGTGACCAAATGCTGGCCTGTCCCCTGGATGCTGCATGCCATGCCTCCTTGTTATGGACATTGGCCAGCACCAGTTTATCCAAAATCTCTTCTTAGCCAAGAGGAGACCTGGAAAACAGCCAGGGATTCAGCAACGAGGATGTTGTGATTGAATTAGTGAGAAAAGTGACAGGTGATTGGGAGGAGTCTGTCCATGGTTAGAAAAGACAGCTGTGCTGGTGTTCGTACAGTAGGTAATGAGAAGCAAGGGCAGGACAGGAGAAAATGCAGATTTCCCCAGAATAAGGAGAAGCAGGAATGGTTCCAGCTTATCCATATCACTGATGGGAGGAGTCTGCAGAAGGGTAGGTAAGCATAGATGTGAGCTGGGGCAGGGTTCCAGAAGAGAGTGTACTGATGGGAAGGTGTGGGCAGTGTGTGTGTGTGTGTGCGTGTGTATGTGTATGTGTGTAGTAAGTTTGCTGGTGGGAGGCTTGGGGAGCTCCAGTATGGAGACTTCTGTTTTCCTGGCAAATCAGATAGCAAGGTCTTCTGCTGAGCATCAAGGAACTAGAAAAGCAGGTACAAAATGGGAACTCGGGAGAGCTTACTAAGGCTAGTTGAAGCTGGCCAAAGATGGAAAGAGGAATCTCCGCAGCTCTGAAGGCCCAGTGAGATTCTGCCCCATTCGTCTGTCTGTGGCTTTTGGTATGACAGATGTGCTATTTCTCATTGTTAACACCAGGCAGGGTTTGCAGTGCGGAGATGGAGGGCCTAAGGATTCAGTGAGACTAAAGTAGGAAAACTGATCAAGAATCAGTGATTTGTCAAAGTCCAGGAAGTGAAGGAGGTCTAAAGAGGACTGAAAACTAGACACACAGAAGAGTCAAAGAAACGGAGGTCTAGATGAGGTCGGAAGCAGGGAGAGGTAGATGAGGCCAAGACCACCAACAGGAAAAGGAGGCACTGAACAGAAGATTCCTTACGGGGGAGGCTGAGGCAGGATCACTAACTCAGTCAGCCAAGCAATTTAGCTGGATCCTGTCTCAAAATAAGGCTTCTCTCCAGAAGGCTAGCATACAATCCAGGGAGAAAGCTCCAGATCCATGTGGGTGCTCTTTCCCAGCATGCACAGGCCTGGGCTCCATGCCCCATACCTCCCAAAAGGGTTGCTAGTGATCTGTATGTTTTCTCTTCCTGTCTCTGCCCTTGGCCTCCCTTTCCTCCCCTGGCCTCCCCTCCCCTGTCCTCTTTTCCCTTCCTTAACTTTCTGGGTGGTTCCATAAAGACAAATATGTAGTCTAGCCCAGGAATCAGAAGCCTGGGCTCTCTCCTCTATTTTTCTCCTTCCCCCAGCCCTCCTGTCTTCTCAGACCCTTTCCTTTCCTCTCTCTACTCCTCTTTCTTCTTCTTAGTTCCCACTAATCACTCCCAATACACCTGCTCCGCTGGGAATGTGAATGCCAGCCAGGAGGGGATGGGAAGGGACACATGCAGTGCAGGGAGATCCACAGAATGGCGGAGGATGCTCCTCCTGGCCGATTAGGAGGAGACTTGGTCAGGAAAGAGTTTTGCGGTGGAGTAAGACTGGAGGGAGCAGGGCCTGAAAAGCTGAGGGATACAGAAGGCAAGTCATGCAGAGAATTGTCAGCTGGAGCAGAGGAAGGGTGTGGCCAGATAGTTGCTTGAGACTGAGGGGCAACCAGGGCTGGAGTACTCAGATGCACTGTCTGCTAACACAAAGCCCATGAGCTGGATGGTTGTTGCAGAATCTTCTGCGTGAACCTTGGCCTGAGACTAGGAAGGAGAAGTGAGCAGCATTCTCCTCTGCCCATCTCAAGCTGAGCTGGCTTGGGGAAAATAACCACAGTGGTACATACCTGTAGTCCCAGCTACTAGGAGGCTGAGGGAGGAGGGTCACAAGATTAAGGCCAGCCTGGGCAACTTAGCAAGACCCTATCTCAAAATAAAAATTTTTAAAAAGCTGGGATATAGCCCAGTGCATACCTAGCATCTGTGAGGCCCTGGGTTCAATCCCAGCAACAACAACAACAACAACAAAATGAAAACCTAAAACTTAGGGAGAATAGCTTTTTAAAAATAGGGTATAACCTTTAAAAAGAATGAGGTTGATCTATATTCAGAATATTATTCAGTAAAAAACAAAGTTACATAGGCAATATGTAATATTATCATTCTGTTTGGGTTTCAAAATTAGTAAAAATTATGTATAATTACATTCATATACATTAACACACGAGTGTGCATTAGAAAAACTGTCCTCCTTGAGAGCTTATAGAAGATATCTGCACACCAGGGTACGTGTGGGAATTCCCCTGCGTCCTGCAGATAGAAAACAGCCCACTAGATCAAGGGTAGGAAGAGATCTGAGAGATCCCTGAGGAGATTGGAAGAGAAGCTTCTTAGGAGAGAACCCTGCTCTGAGAAGCTTCTTAGGAGAGAACCCTGCTCAGAGGCCCTAGCACTCTTTTGAAGGAAGGGATAGAGGGAGGAGAGTGAGGGGGAGAGTCAAGTTATGGTTATAGAAGCAACCTCCCCCCTCCAGTATTCTCATTGTTGGTGGTATTGCTTTCAGTGACAAGAGTCCCAGTTGGGACAATAATGATACAGCCACCCATGTGGAGGGTGCATTCAGGCAGCTGTGATGTGTGTTCCCTGTGGTCATAAGACCAATACTAAAGTACATGTTTGAGAAAGCCAAAGCATGCTTACCCAGAACATCCAGGGCCCTGGGCTGCTGACTATAATGGGTGGTCAGCCAGAAGTGGGGGTGAGTTTATGCTACCATACTTTCTTGGACAGGGTGTTTCTTATGGGTCAGCCAGTGTAGCCTTGGCTGTGGTCAAGTAGGATTCTTGCCCAAAATAGAACTATATCTGTCTAGGTAATGGAAATGACAGGAGAGAAGGAGAGAGTCCTCTAAGAACTGCCCAAGAGTGGTGAAAGTTCCCCAAACTTAGTCGGCTTTAACCATCTGCCACGTTTAAAATTGGAGCTATGCAGCCTTTCAAAACCTCACCCCCTAAACTCGTCCTCAAAACACCTCTCCTGCCTCCTGTGACAAGAATTAGCCTGTTAGTCAATAAGGGAGGAGGGAAGCAGTTACTGGGAGACTTCAGCAGAGGCATGGGGAGGCAGGAGAAGGGAGCAGAGCGGGGATCAGTAGGAGGCCAGCAAGAGGGACAGGAAGAGACTTCACCCCACAGGACATGGAATGACTGAATGACACTGACCTGGTGTAGCAGTAGGAGCAGCTATGACCTAAAAATCAGGAGAGCCCCAGGCCTCTGGAGAGATGGGAGGATAGAGTTCAAAGCAGTGGTGGGAAAACAGAATAAATTCTTGTTTTTATCATAATCCACGAGTCGTACTTGATCAAACTATGGTTTTCATGGATATTTATGTGAACAACAAGAAAAAAATCAGGCAAGACAGGCTCCAAAGTGTCAGCTATGATTATTTTACAGGTGGGACTCTTTCCTAATGCATTTCCATATTATTCAAACAGAGGCAAGTATACTTTTGTACGCTTGGTACACTATAGACAACCATTACTTTTACTAGCTTAAACAAAAGATGAAAAATTGGAAGATACTTCCCCAGCAGGCTTCTGGCCTTGCAGTAGGAAAACCCAGGGCCTGGCCTGGGCCTGCCTTCTCCGAGAAGCCACTGTCCTCTCCCCTCTGAGCAGAGCTTCCCCAGTGTCTCTAGCAAGAGACTCCTTTCACCCTGGGTGCTCTTGGAAGACTTGCTGTCATGGCTACACCAGGTTTCAAATCCCTTCTTGCTGCTCCCTGCCCTCCCTCCATCACTTTTCCCGTGTGATATGGCCTTGTTTCATTTGGCAGTTCTTCACACAACAAGTTCTTTTTCAAAGCGTAAAGAATATTGGGAAGAATTTATATGTTCTGAATTTCTTTTAGATGCAGAGAACACACCTGAAGTAAAAAAGTCAGCTCTAAACCAGAGTATTTCTGATGAAAACCAAACCCAGGACATGATCATGCAAAGACTAACAAGAGACAGTTTCTGGTACTCCATCTTAGGAGGACTCTGGGATTTTGATTATCACTTAGAGTTGAACCAAGAAAACCAGCAGAGATATTTGGGACCAGTATCTCTCATCCACCAAAAGCTCACACAGGAGAGAAACAGCAAATGTAGGAGATCAGAGGACAATTATGGTCAGAGAAATCCTTCTCTTCAAATACCCCTTTATTATGGCGCACAAGGAAATAGCCTCAGACATGGCTCAGACTTGATCTGCTATCAGGGAAACCCTGTGAGAGAGAACCCCTGTGAATTTAACGAGTGTGGAAGAACCTTCGGTCAACATATTCTTCTTCCTAGTAATGCATGTGCCATGGAGAACCCCAGGGAACATGGAAAGGCCTTTAGCCACAGCTTGCCTCTTGGCCAGCCTCAGCCAATGTTAACGGGAGAGAAGCCCTACAAGTGTGATGACTGTGGGAAGAGATTCAGCCAGAGAATACACCTCATTCAACATCAGAGAATTCACACAGGGGAAAAGCCTTTTACATGCCATGAGTGTGGGAAAGCCTTCCGCCAGCATTCCTCCTTCACCCAGCATCTGAGGATCCATACTGGAGAGAAACCCTATAAGTGCAATCAGTGTGGCAAGGCCTTCAGCCGCATCACGTCTCTCACCGAGCACCATAGACTTCACACGGGAGAGAAACCCTATCAGTGCAGCTTCTGCGGGAAAACCTTCAGCCAGAGGACACATCTCAACCAGCACGAGAGGACCCATACTGGAGAGCGGCCTTACAAATGTCCTGAGTGTGGGAAAGCCTTCAGCCAGAGCGCACACCTGAACCAGCACAGGAAAACCCACACCCGTGGGAAGGTGCTGGAGTGCAAGTGTGGGCGGGCCCTCCGCCACCACGCATCACTCTGCAGCACGTGATTGTGCTGGGGAATAGAAGCGCAGGAAACTGTCTTCCCGAGCAATGATCCAGTGACGCAAATTATTCACAGTGGATAAAAAGCTTATAAATAAACCTTTAATGCATAAAAACCAAATAAAACGTGCACCTTAAACTGGTAGCCTATTACATTCCGAGGAAGAATAATGGATTATTTTATAAAAACCTTGAGTCATGTTCCAAGTCTAATCTAACATGTTTTAAAGAAATAAGCAGAAGTCTTATAAGCAATAAGCTATTATCATTCACCTCTAAGTTCTATGCTACAAAAACCTGTTAACCAAGGCATGCTATAGTATACATCATCAAACCAAATAAACATGAAAGTAATGTCCCTCAAGATGGCCTTGGTCATTTTGTACCTTCTTTACGGCTCTTGCTATATCTGATCGTAATATTTTTAAAAGGGTATAGGATGTTTAGTTTGACCTAGGAAATATTATTTATGAAAATCATGAGTTTGCTATGCTAATGACATTCTAATTTCTATAATAATAAATATCTAATATTTGGAATTTAAAATATCAACAAAAAGTCTGATGGTTTAATGAATATTGAAATAGGATGTGGCAATGTTCTGTTATTTTTCTATTATTTTGTAATAATAGAATCTTTGCATTGTCTTCTTCAAACAAATTCTGGGGTCACTTTGAGAAGAGTCTTAGAGGACACTGAGAAGCCTGCTTTTCTATCCTGATATCCTACTTTTAAATTCACCATGGGAAAACACAGATTTCCTTTTTCTTTATTTCTGGCTAACATGTATTGATTGCATGATTGGTGGGATTCAGGGTGATATTTCCTTGCATGCACACAGTGTGCCCCAATAAACACAGCTGCACAGTATCCACCCTCCCCACCCAGCACACGCCTCCCCGCCCTCTAACAATTACTGTTCCACATAAGGCCAACTGTTTTGCTTCCACATGACAGGGAACATGTGGTACTTGTCTTTCTGTGCCTGACCTATTTCACTCAGCAGAATGTCCTCCAGTTCCTCCCATTTTGCTGCAAGTGACAGGATTTCATTCTCAATGGCTGAAGAATATTCCAAGGTGTATAAACACCACAATTTCTCTGTCCACTCATCTCTTGATGGGCACCTAAACTGGTTCCATACCTTGGCTGTTGTGAACAGTGCTGCCGTAAGCATGGCATGCAGGTGTCTCTGAGTGTGTTGGTTCATTTCCTTTGGGTATCTTCCCAGAAGTGGGATGGCTAGATCACATAGCAGGCCTAGGTTTGGCTTTGAGGGATCTCCATACTCTTCTCAGCAAGGGCTGGACCAATTTACATTTCTGTGAACCCTACAGAAGAGTTAGTTCTTCTCCTCACCCTCACCTGCATTTACTATTTTTTTGGTTTTTGAATAATGGCAAGTCTAACTGGAGGGAGAGGATACTTAGTTTTAGTTCTCATTTGGATTGAGCAGTTTTCATACACTTGTTGGTCATTTGCATTTTTTTCAAGAAGCTTCTATTCAGATCACCTGCCCATATTTTAATTGGATTATCTAGAGATTTCCTTATTGATTCCTCATATATCTGGATGTTGATCCTTTGCCAGATCAATAGTTGGCAGCTATGTCCTCCTGTTCCATAGATGCTCTCTCCACTCTGCTGCTTCCTTTGCTGTGTAGAAGCTTCAGAGTGTGATATAGTCCCATTTGTCATTCTGTTTTTGGGGGGTCTTGTCCAAATAAATTCTTACCTGTAACAACATCTTAAAGTATCTGCATTTTCTTCTAGTAGTTTCAGAGTTAAGGGTCTTACATTAAGATCTTGAATCCATCTCAAGTTGATCTTTGTACAGGTGAGAGATCGGGGTCAAGTCACAATCTTCTGCCTGTGGATAACCAGTTTTCCCACACCATTTTAAAGAGGCTGCCCCTCCTCCACATGTTTCTCTGGCACTTTTGGCAGGAGTCCGTGGGTAGTAGTTGTGTGAGTTCATTTCTAGACACCAGTCCCATGCTGCTTGGTTACTGTGGCTCTGCAGCATGTCCTGAGCTCAGGTATTGTGATGCTCCAGCTCTGTCCTTTTTAACTTAATGTTGCTTTTTATATTGAGATCTTTTTTGCTTCCATATGAATTTTAGGACTATTTTGTCTAGTTCTGTGAAGAATGTCATTGATATTTTGATGGGAATTCCATTGAGTCTGTATATTGTTTGGGGGACTATGGACATTTTAACAATACTGATTATGCCTATCCATGAACATGGAAGGTCTTTCCATCTTCCTGTGTCTTCTTCAGTTTCTGTCTTCAAAGTTATCTATGGTTTTCACTATAGAAGTCTTTCACCTCCTTAGTAAGATTTATTCCTAGATAGTTTATTCTTTTTTGAGGTTACTGTGAATGGGATTGTTTTCCTGATTTCCTTCTGAACAGATTCACTGTTGGTATATAGGAAAGCTGTTGATTTTTGTATGTTGATTTTGTAACCTGCTACTTTGCTGAATTTGTTTATTAGCTCTAGCAGTCTTCTGGTGGAGTATTTTGGATCATCTAAGTAAAGGATCATATCATCTGCAAACAGTGATAATTTGACTTCTTCCTTTCCTATTTTTATCCCTTTTATTTCCTTCTCTTACCTCATTGCTCTGGCTAGACTTTATAGCACTATATTAAATAGGAGTGGTGAGTGAACATCCTTGTTTTGTCCCAGATTTTTAAAGGAAATGCTTTCAGTTTTTCCCCATTTAACTAGAGGTTAGCTTAGGGTTTTTCATACATAGCTTTATGATTTTTAGGTAGGTTTCTTCTATCCCTAGTCTCTTCAGTATTTTTATGATGAATGGGTGTTGAATTTTGTCAAAGGTTTTCTCTGAATCTATCTAGATGACTAAGTGATTTTTGTCTTAATTCTATTTATGTTATGAATTACATTTATTGATTTGCATATATTAAACCATCCTTGCATCTCTGGAATAAAACCAACTTGGTCATGGGTTACAATATTCTTATTATGTTGTTGAACCCAATTTGCTAATATTTTATTAATATTTTTACATGTAAGTTCATCAGGAATATTGGTCTGTAGTTTTCTTACCTCAATGTATTCTTATCTGGTTTTGGTAGGAGTGTGTTACTGGTTTCATAGAATGAATTTGGAAGTGCTCCATTCCTTTCTATTTCATGGAAAAATTTGAGAAGCATTAGCATTAGTTCTTTTTTAATGGTCCAGTAGAATTTGGCTGAGAATCCATCAGATCCTGGGGTTTGCTTTATTGGAAGATGTTTTATTATTGCTTCTATCTAATTGCTAGATTTTGGGTCGTTTGGGTTTTCTATGTCCTTCTGTTTCAGTTTTGGCAGACCATATTTTTCTAGAAATATGTCCATTTCTTCTAGATTTTATAATTTATTGGTGTTTAAGTTTTCAAAATAGCCTGTAAGGATCCACTGGTTTGCTATGATATCTGTGGTGATTTCTCCTTTTTCATCTCTAATTTTAATAATTTGAGTCTCCTCTCTTTTTCTTTTAGTGAGTTTGGCCAAAGGCTTATCAATCTTGTTTATCTTTTCAAAGAACCAACTCTGTTTCATTGATCCTTTGTGTGTATGTATGTTATAGTTGGACACAATACCTATATTTATTTTATTTATTTATTTAATTATATGTGATGCTGAGGATTGAACCCATCACCTCACATGTGCTAGGCAAGCGTTCTACCACTGAGCTACTACCCCAGCCCCAGATCCTTTGTATTTTTTTTTATTCTCAGTTTCATTAATTTTGGCTCTGATTTTAATTAGTTCCTGTCTTCCACTGGTTTTGAAACTGATTTGTTCTTTTTTAAGGGCTTTGAAAGACATCCTTAGGTTTATTTTGGATCTTTCTGGTTTTCTTTTCTTTTCTTTTTAATTGTAGATGGACACAATACCTTTATTTATTTATTTTTATGCAGTGTTGAGGATCGAATTCAGTGACTCACATGTGCTAGGCAAGCACCCTACCACTGAGCTACACCCCCAGCCCTCTGATTTTCTTATATAGGCATTCATAGCTATAAACTTTCCTCTTAAAACTAATTTCAGAGAGTCCCAGAGGTTCTAGTGTGTTGTATCACTATTCTTGTTTAAGTCTAAGAATTTTTAATTTCTCCTTTGATTTCTTTTGTCACCCATTCATCATTCAAAAGAGTATTGTTCAATATCCGTGTGTTTTTATAGTTTTTGTAGAGGGTTCTGTCACATTGAGATATAATCAGATGCAAGGAATTATATCCATTTCTGTATTTGCTAAGAGTTGCTTTGTGCCCTATGTAGATGAGAAACTCTTTTTTTTTTTTTTTTTTCAGAGTAGAAATTAGAAGTTTATTAAAGGACAGCAGAAAAGACTTCTCCTGGAGGAAGAAGGGGACCCAAGAGGTGGAATCCGTGGAAGTGCGGTTTTTTCCCCTTTTTATAGTTCTTTCAGTGATGGAATGTAGGTTGGAAGACCCGAGGGGTGGGACACAGGTGGGCCAAAGAAGTAATCTGGGCAGGAAGGACTTCATTAACATTTCTTTGGGATGGGCTATCTTTAAATCTGCTGGGGCTGTTCATTAACATTTATCATAATTTACTATCCTTGCCCAAATTAATGCACTGGTACACCTAGTGAAATCTTCTCAGGCTACCCAGTTCAAAAATTAATGAAAAAATAAAACTAAATGATTGGGAGTTACTTGCCGATTTGGAAGTAGAGTTCTTTAATTTTCCACCCTAAGTATTTAAGTTCTCTGGCATGAATTATCTGAAATCATAAACTAGGTCTTGAAGGGAGAAGGGGGTATGTACTTTGATTGGCCCAAATTCTCCTCCTGGCATCTCCTGGAGAGGTAATATATTTGGTTTGCCTGTTGGGGCAGATGCAGAGAGGCCAGCAGATGGAGATTTTGTGGGTCCTCCTGATTCTTTTTTCCTCAGTGAGTCCCCAAGATTTTCTCTCTTCATGGCAGATATCATAGCTAAGTCTACTTTACACTGTTGGCATAATTTAGGATTTTCCCTTAGAGCAAAGAAAACCTGAACATATGGCACCTCACACCATTTCCCTTCCTTTTTGCAAACTTTATCAAGCTGTAAAATTGTATTAAAATTGATACTTCCCTCTGGTGGCCAGGTTTCTCCATCAGAGAGTTTGTATGGAGGCCAGGCCAAGAAAATGAGGCGCTTTTTCTTGAGCGTCTGAGGGTCAAATCTATCCCAATTTTTCAATATGCAGACTAGTGGTGCACCTGGCGTATTGGAGAGAGAGAAGCTCCCATCTGAGTGAGAAGAAAACAGGACTCAGGTGCCCGTGCCGCACTGGAGAAAACTGTTCTCATTAGGGACGTCTCCCTAAGCTTGAGC